TTTAGATGAAGGTTTATAGAGCAAATTAGTTTGTTATTAAACAATTAATACACATATTGTTTTGTGACATTGGTTGCCAACCCCATGACATGTCAACACTCTCCCCTTCTCGACCTTGGGTTCCCCATTACCAACTTTCCTGTCCCCTCCGCCTTCTCGTCCTTGCCCCTGGGCTGGTGTGCCCATTTAGTCTCGTTTTCTTTTATAGGCCTGTCTAATCTTTGGCTGAAGGGTTAACCTCAGGAGTGACTTTATTACTGAGCTGTAAGGGTGTCTGGGGACTATGAAAATTTCTGTATCTTTGATTTTAACTGGTAGGAGTAGAAATGTAGAATGTGGATAGCTCTATATTGATATATATATATTTACTTTTTGAATATTTATCTTTGTTTTTGACAGAAAAATTGAGCTCCCCTAAGAAAGTTGTTACATCACCAGGAAAAATTCCTCCGCCTTCACCAAAAAGTAGTGGACCAAAGCGAGCACTCCCTCCTAAAACTTTGGCAAATTATTTTAAAGTGTCTTCTAAACCAAAAAATAGTGAAGAAATAGGAGCACTTCAGGAACATAATAAAGGTAAGACATTACATTGACAGAATGAATTCAATATATTTTCGTTTTGGTGACCCTGATACGTAAAAATATGAATATATTTCATGAGATTGTATAGCTATTTATTAAATCTTAGCTACACTGAAGGTCCTATATATAGGAGTCCTGATATTTTGTTTCAGTTTTGATAAGTGATTTCAGTTTGAGCTTAATCTGTAAAACTATCCAATGTTCTATTAACAGTTGATTTTACCTAAATATTAATATTCTGTTTATGCAGGAATCAAAAAGTCTTTTGAACAGAAACAAATTACTCAGACTAAATCCACAAATACAACTGATTCAAACAGAGAATTTGGAGTGGAGGAACCCAACAGGAAAAATGCAACATCTCTTATTCTTTTTGAGGAGGTAGGCTTATAGATATTTCATGATAAAGCCTATTTTAAGATTACAAGTAATGGTTTCCTAAAAAGGATTGTGAAATAGTTAAGAAAGTCAGGAATATTTCTATTTGAAATTAAAGCAATTGAAACTGACAACCATAGAAGAATTTTTTCAGGAAGAAGACAAATGCAATTTGAAGTTACTAATTATTGTCCAGTAATTATTAAATTAATTCTGACTCATACCTATCCAGTTAAACCCATTAAGACCCATTGCTGTCGAGTTGAATTCCAACTCATAGCAACCCTAAAGGACAGAGTAGAACTACCCCATTGGGTTTCCAAGACTATAATCTTTATGGAAGCAGACTGCCACATCTGTTTCTCATGGAGTGGCTGGTGGGTTCGAACTGCCAGCCTTTCAGTTAGCACCTGAGCCCTTAACCACTGTGCTATGAGGGCTCCTTATATCCAGTTAAAGGTGGCCACGTTTCTTTGGTTTTAATATTTGATCATTTATATTAACTCTTTTTTATAGTGTAAGACATTGTGAACTTTCAGCATGGGCTGAATTCACACTGTTGGTAAATTTTGTCTCTAACAGACAAATGGTCTGTGTACTATGTGTACATGACTGATACCCACTAAGTCTCTTGTTACTCAGTACATTAATATTCTTACAAACGGTTTGTAGGTTGATGTAATTTTCGACGAAGATGCTGGGTTTTTGAATGCAATCAAAACATTCATGGCAACAACTAAAAGACCTGTAATCCTTACTACAAGTGGTAGGTAACAATGATTTTAATACAATTAGTTACTTTTGATTAAAGTATTTTGGAAAAGCATTCAATTTTAGTTAGAAATGTTCCTTTGGAAGTCAATAAATTAAACTTTTTTTTCCTTTGAAATTAGGAGACTCCTAGATCATTTTTTTCAAATTTGCAATTGATTTTTCACCTTTGAGGACTTAGTTAATATCTTACCTTGCTAGTATCAATGACCTTTTAAAAATGAGTACTACTGTGGCTCACTGTATTGGGTGTTAGAGATTTAGGAAGCCAACAATAGCCTAGAATGCAGACAGAGATTTATGGACTAGCCAATAACAGGATTTTGGTAGGTAACATATCAGATCCTTCTTGCTTTTTCCTCACACCTATAATTACACCACCAAACCTCCTCTACTACTATGCCACCATTTGCAGCTTTGGCCAAAATTTTTTATGGAACACAATCTTTCTGTAGTTCCTTAATATTGAACTTCCTTCTTAGTCATTCCTTCACCCCTGATAGCATTTCCATATGTATTGTTGCATATATTAGCTAAAGTAAACCATCATCAGCCTAATATAATTGGTCTACCTCCCCAAGAATTAGTATTCAATGTTTAATTTTTAAAACTCATATAATTTAATTTTTTTTATTACAGATATTTATTACAAATATTCAGTAGGATATCTCTGCTATGGATTTCTATAGAAAAATATGTTTGTAGTAGAGTCCACTTACAATTTAATGGCCCATTTCACGCTTAGTGATTGTACTTTGAAATAATGATAAAAATCTTATTAATTACAAGTCAGGTAGTAACTTAATTAAAAGATCAGAGTTACTTTAGGTTAAGGTAGAAAGTCAATTTCTTTTTTTCTTTTTTTTATCGTGCTTTAGATGAAGGTTTACAGAGCAAATTAGTTTCTCATTAAACAAGTAATACACATATTGCTTTGTGACATTGGTTGCCAACCCCGCAACGTGTCAACACTCTCCCCTTCTCAACCTTGGTTTCCCCATTTCCATTTGTCCAGCTTTCCTGTCCCCTCCTGCCTTCTCGTCCTTGCCTCTGGGCTGGTGCGCCCATTGAGTCTTGTATACATAGTTGAACTATGTGTATTATTGTTTGTTTTATGGGCTTGTCTAATCTTTGACTAAAGGGTGAACCTCAGGAGTGACTTCAGTATTAAGTTAAAAGGGTGTCCGGGGGTATCATGACCATTCTTGTGCAAGTCTTTTTGTGAACATCTATTTTCATTTGAAAGTCAATTTCTTAAGTATTCATGATTTTCATGATACTGCATTTTCATTAATGATGAAATATAGAATATATTTCTATGGAAATACATTTCTATAGAAAAAGTATAACTGGGAAAAGTGATTTCAGTGGTTTTAATGTAAAAAAAAAAATGTTTTTTTTTCTATAGATCCAACATTTAGTTTAATGTTTGATGGATGCTTTGAAGAAATCAAATTTAATACTCCTTCCCTAGTAAGTTCTGAATTTTGATGATCATAAGTTATATATCACAATTATATAAAAGATAGTTTATTATAGTATTCAGTTACAGTTTAAAATGTGGTTACTAAGTGGTATGTTAATATTTTTGATCTTGGGAAACTTCTGATTATTATATTTCCTTTTTTGCTTTTAAAAAAGATTTTTTTTCAAATTAAAATACTTTTGACTAGACTCCAGTAAGTGTTCATTCAGGGTATTTTCATGGTAATGTACTTTATTGAGGTAAAATTTACATATAGTTTAAGTACACTGATCTTAAGTTAGTGTATTATGTGTTATCATATGTAAACACCCATGTAATCATCACCCAGAGCAAAATTTAGAAGATTTCCACCAACTCCAAAAGTTTCCTTGGGCCTCTTTTTAGTCAGCAAACACCCCCCACTATTCCGATGTATATCACATAGATTAGTTTTGTCTATTTCTGAAATTTCATATAATAGGACACAAACATTACATGCCGTTTTTCTGTGTGTCTGGCTTCTTTTGATCCGCATAGTGTTTTTTAGTTTTATCCATGCTGTTCTGTCAGTGGTTACCTAGGTTTGTGGGAATTAAGGAGGAATGGGGAGTGACTGCTTATCGGCATGGGATTTCTTTTTTGAAGTGGTGAAAATGTTCTAGAATTAGATAGTGATAATGGTTGCATAACTGTGAATATACTAAAACCATTGAATTATACACTTTAAATAGGTAAAATTTATGGTATATGAATTATATCTCATTACAGCTATTATATTTTTAAAAAAATATGACTAGTCTGGATTGAGATGTGCTAAAGTATAATATAAATACCAGATGAAAGACTTTGTACAAAAAAATAATGTCAATATATCCCACTGGTGATGTTTTATATTGATTACATCTTAAAATAATATTTTGGATATACTGGATTAAATAACCTAAGGAAAATTAATTTCACCTGTTTCTTTTTTTTAGTATGGCTACTGTGAAATTTAAATTTCATGTGTAGCTTGCATTTTTGGCTTGCATTATATATATTTTTTTTATTGTACTTCAGGTGAAGGCTTATGGAACAAATAGTTTCTCATGAAACAGTAGTACACATATTCTTTTATGACATTGGTTAACAACCCCACAACATGTCAACCCTCTCCCTTCTCGACCTTTTGTTTTTTTTGGTGAAAATATACATAGCCAAAGGTACACTATTTCAAAAATTTCTACATGCACAGTTCAGTGAGATCAACTACGCTCTTCCAGTTGTGCTGCTGTTCTCACTTTAGATGAAGGCTTACAGAACAAAATACTTCTCATTTAACAGTTAGTACACATGTTGCCCTATGACAATGGTTAACAACCTCACAACACATCAACACTATCCTTACTCAACCTTGGGTTCCCTATTACCAGCTTTCCTGTCCCCTTCTGCCTTCTGGCCCTTGTCCTTGGACTGCTGTACCTCATTAGTCCCATTTGGTTTTATGGGGCTGTCCACTCCCCGGCTGAATGGTGAACCTCTGAAATGACTTCACCACTGAGTTTAACGGGTGTCTGGGGGCCATTCTCTCGGGGTTTCTCCAGTCTCCTTTAGGCCAGTAAATCTGGTCTTTTTTTTTGTGAGTTAGAATTTTGTTCTACATCCTTTTCCAGCTCTGTCCAGAACCCTCTGTTGTGATCCTGGTCAGAGCAGTCAGTGGTGGTAGCCGGGCACCATCTAGCTCTACTGGACTCAGTCCAGTGGAGGCCATGGTAGCTGTGGTCCATTAGTCGTTCGGACTAATCTTTTCCTTGTATCCTGTTCTCTTCATTCTCCCTTGCTCCTGAAGGGATGAGACCAGTGGAGTATGTTAGATGGCCGCTCACAGGCTTTTAAGACCCCAGACGCTACTCACCAAGGTAGAATGTAGAACATTGTCTTTATAAACTGTGTTATTGGCTTGCATTATATTTTTATTAAACAGCACTCACTGCTCTAGAATCTAAATCTTCTTCATTCATTTTTTTTAAATAATATTTTACTGTGTTTTAGGTGAAAGTTTACACAGCAAATCAAGTTCCTCTTTAACAATTTTTATATAAATTAGTTCCATGCCATTGGTTACAATTTTTACTATGTGTCAGCATTCTCATTATTTCCATTCTGTCTGTTACCATTGATCTAACTTCCCCTCCTTGCCCTCTCATCTTCACTTTTGGGTAAATGTTGACTGTTTGGTCTCATATAGTTAATTGTTTAAGGGAGCACATTCTCATGGGTGATATTATTTTATAAGCCAATCTGTTATTTGACTGAAAAGTGACCTGCAGAAATAGTCTCAATTCCAAATTCAAAGGTTATCTTAGGGTGATAGTCTTGGAGGTTCTTCTAGTCTCTATTGGTCCAATAGGTCTGGCCTTTTTTAGGAATTTGAGTTTTGTTCTACATTTTTCTCCCATTCTATCCAGGACCTTCTATTGTGTCCCTGGTCAGAATGGTTGGTAGCGGTAGCTGGGCATTGTCTAGTTTTTTGGTCTCAGGTTAGAAGAGGTTATGGTTCGTGTGGGTTATTAGTCCCATGGACTACTTTCTTCTTTGAACCTTTGAGTTCCTTCATTCTCTTTTGCTCCATATGAGTAGAGACCAGTAGTTGTGTCTTAGATGGCTACTTGCAAGCTTTTAAGACCTCAGACACTACTCACCAAACTATAATGTAGAACATGATCTTTCTTATGCCAATTGACTAAGTTTCCTTCATTCTTGCTAAATTCTCTTATTAGTTCTAGTAGTTGTTTTGTTGGTTTCTTAGGGTGTTCTATGTACACAATCATATCATCTGCAAATAGAGAGTTTTATTTTTTCCCTTTGATTTTCCTGTCTTTTTTTTGTTTTTTCTTTTTATTGCCATTTTTCATTGGCGAGGACCTGCAGTACAATGTTAAATAGAAGTAGTAAGAGTGCTAAGAGTCCTTAGCTTGTGCCTAATCTTAGAGGAACAGCATCTGGTGTTTTACCATTGAGTAATGGTGTTAACAGTATGTAGTTTAGTTCTTTTTTATAATTTCTGTTTCTCTGCTAAGATTTTCTATTTGTTCATTTATTATGAGCATATTTTCCTTAAGCTGCTCTTAAACTCCTTGTCTGCCAGTTCCAGCATCTTGGTTATCTTGTGATCAATCTTGTCTCTGACGTACTGATTATTTTTCCTGTTTCCTTGTATGGCTTAGATTTTTATTCTGGGCATTGTGAATTATGTGTAGTAGAGATTCTGGATTCTATATGTTCCTCTGAAACAGTATTCTCCTGCCATGGGTAGCAGCTTTACGCATGCACACTTCAGGGTTTGTTGTTCTACTTTTATTGTAGAATCTCTGTCTTTCTTTTTCTGGTACCTTCCCTCTCACTTTCCAGCTGCTGCAGTCATCCCAAACTCTTGTCCTCTGGTTCTTCAAGCCAGTAACTCTGTGAGTTTCTGTCTGAGTTTTAGCCATCTCTTCTGCAGCCTGTCCTCAGTCAAAAAGCAATTTAAAAAAAGCGGGGTGGGGGTGGGGATGGTATTTACCCAGTGCCATTCCCTTTCTCCAAAGTGTTGATTTCCCTCCGGTTTTAGTCTGCTTTTAGTCACTCTTTGGTGCCTTTAGGTAGTTGTTTTTTCTCTTCTTTTTTTCTTAAAGTTGATTAGAGAGTTCATAGTAATCATCACTGGGAGGGTTTGTCTGATAGGAGCTACTCCTATGTTATCAGAAATAGAATTCCTAGTTTGGAACAGAAGTGTGTAGGACTAATATGTATCTACCTATGTAATAAACGAGACATTTCATAGGGGAAAATTTTTTACTGCCTTGTTTACTATAAAATAAAAATCCTAGTACTCTTGTGAAATGTAAATACAATTTTATTTATGTTTTAGTTTTTCAAGATAAAAAACTTCCCATAAACAACAATGGGAAGACAACTGTATGATTAAGCAGATTTACGATTTACTTAGGGATTTAAAAATGTCTCGTTGGTATATAAGTAATATAGCAGTATTAATGGAACACCAAATAAAATGGAAAAAAAAATTCACTGAATTACCCTTATCAAATCAAATGTTTTTTCTGCCTTCTATTTCTTATTTATATACATTTGTAATTTTATGCATGTACTGATATAATTTTAACTGGTTTTTTAAAAAGCATATAAAAAAACAAAAAAACCAAACCCCTTGCCATCGAGTTGATTCTGACTCATAGGAACCTTATAGGACAGAGTAGAACTGCCCCATATGGTTTCCAAGGAACGGCTGGTGGATTTGAACTGCCATCCTTTTGGTTAGCAGCCAAACTCTTAACCACTGCGCCACCAGGGCTCCATAAGTATATTTATTATAATATTCACATTTATAATTTTAATGACTGTAAAATATTCCATAAAGCTGTACCATAACTTAATCCTAAGGAATTTTCTCAAGGTTCATAAAACTGCCTCCCGTGTTCAAGTTGGAGAATCTCTTATAAAAATTTCCTGCTGTTTTAGACTGTATACAAATACTAAAAGAATATATAAATCCTTTTAATTTGATGGCATATTTCTTTATATTTTCCTAGAGCAGTTTCATTCTCTTGAAGAGCTTTAAGATATTGTGAATTTTAGCAAAATTTGTTTCAGTTTTAGATATTGTTCATGTGCATTATTGCTGCATTTCTATTAACTCTACTACTAACCATGTTTCTCTCTTTTTTTAAAGCTTAATGTTGCCAGCTACCTACAGATGATCTGCTTGACCGAGAATTTTAGAACTGATGTAAAAGACTTTGTCACCTTTCTAACTGCAAACACTTGTGATATCAGAAAAAGTATCCTTTACTTACAATTCTGGATTAAAAGTGGAGGTGGATTTTTAGAAGAAAGGCCATTATCGCTTTGTGGTAGGTTAATCTGCTGTAAAATAAATTTCTATAATGGGGCACTATCTTAAAATTTATGCTATACCAAAATATTTGACAAATCATTAACCTGAGCATCCAATTATCACATTAATATTCAAAATAAATGTATATACATCAACTTTCGATAGAATTCTTTTTTTATTGTACTTTAGGTGAAGGTTTACAGAGCAAATTAGTTTGTCATAGCCAAAAAATTTTTCCCAGTTTGTAGGCTGTCTTTTTACTCTTTTGGTGATGTCTTTTGATGAGCGTAAGTGTTTTTGATTTTTAGGAGCTCCCATTTATCTAGTCTCTCTTCTGGTGCTTGTGCATTGTTACTTATGGTTTGTATTCTGTTTATGCCATGTATTAGGGCTCCTAGCGTTGTCTCTATTTTTTCTTCCATGATCTGTATTGTTTTCGATTTTATATTTCGGTCTTTGATCCATTTGGAGTTAGTTTTTGTGTATGATGTGAGGTATGGGTCTTGTTTCATTTTTTTGCAGATGGATATCCAGTTATGCCAGCACCATTTGTTAAAGAGACTGTCTTTTCCCCAATTAATGGACTTTGGGCCTTTGTCAAATATCAGCTGC